CTTCGCTGTTAGGTAAAAAGGTTCTAAGCGTTGCCAGCGTCGCCTAAGAGGGCCCAAGGGCAGCCCCAGAGGGCCCCAGGATGCATCCAAGATGGCCCCAGGGTCCCACGATGATATCTGGGCGACCAGCATAAGTCAAACCATGCGGCAGTCTTATTAGTAGTCATCGTGTCATTTCCGTCCTCTCATGATGAATCCAAGAGGGCTGCGTGGGACTCAGATGCCCCCGAAAGGTTTCCAAGATGGTCCCAAAAGAGCCTCACGACAGACCAGGACAGCCCAAAGACTCTTCCAAACAGGGCTCAAGGGAGTTCGCAGAGGCCGAAGACGGGCCGAGAAGGCCCCAAGACGCCAAAAGAGGATCGCAAGACTGCCCCAAGAGGGCTCCTAGAAGACTCTTCCGCGACTTCCATTGAGCTCGTCGTGAAGTCTTTGAAGTCACAAAGCATGTGCAAACGCTGTATTCTTAGCCGCGTGAAGCGAAAAGTGCTTATGCCCCAGCGCTTTAGTATGCTTCGGGGGACAAGAACTTTAGCTGCTGACGCCAATCAGACCAGCCAGCTACCCGCGGGACCACGGCATGTTTCAGGCGAGGGGTGTCCCGAATGGGCGGAGAGACGCTATGCGGCACTTTGCCAGTGAGGCATTCTGTGGAGCGAAGACCTGTGGCCACCAGGAACACAACGCGCGCGAGGAACTCTACGAGGCTTCCGGCGGTGACCAGGTTCACCGCTCACCGTTTGCACCCAGTTGTTTCGAATTTGGGGTTTCGGTGCCAATCTTGCGTACATACAGACGGACAGACAGACAGATAGACAGGCATACGCATAGCAGGCCCGGGGCCCGAAAACAGCTGCCTCGACCCTCCATGGGGGGACCGGGGCTCATTTTCCTTATGTTTTTACAGGGTTTCCGCGTCCTGGGCCTTGGAGGCCGCCGCCTCCGACCCCCCATGGGAGGACGGGGCGGCCTGGGAGGTCCAAACCAGTCCAGGAGGGCCTCCAGAGGCTCCCCAGACGGCTCAAGCGGGCCCCGGGAGGCTTCCGGATTGCCCCAATGTGGTCTCACGCCTGGCCTCCACGCAGCCAAGACGGCCAATTGACTGCTTCAGACTGCAGAACATAACTTTCCGACTGCCCGGAGAACCTTGACGATGCCCCTAAGGGACCCCAAGAAGCCCCAAGATGCCCCCCGATACGCACCCAAGAGGTGCTTCCAACAGCCAATTGAGGAAGCACGGAGAAACCCCCAGAAGCCCTTCAGATGCCCCCACGAAGACCCAAGAGGTTCCCAAGAGGCCCTCAGGAGGCACGACTATGTCACGCGCCTGTGCTTGATAGCGCTGTCCAAGATCTTCTAGCGCGCCCCCAGCCTGGGCTAGAACCTGAGCGCGCGCGAAGCGCGCGCGATGGTTCTAGTTTAATTTGTGAGGGTTTATGGCCTCGGGGGCGCGAATGTCATGTATTTTTACGTGTCCCACGCCCCCCCCAGGAATTCAGAGCACCCGATTCGGGTGTGGTAACTAGGTTCCTTCTCGACTCCCCCCCCCTCGCGCGGTCCATCAACAAGGAAAGGTAAGCAGCAAGAAGCAGAACTGTAACAGTGAAAACTGGAAACTGGAACTGGTGCAGGGAACAGCAAACCTTCGTCCTACAGCCTGATGGCCCCACAAGGAGGCCGGCGGATTATCATCTTTTGTTTATTGTTTCTTCGCATCATTGTTATATTTCTTCTTATTATTCTTAGCACTCGTAATATTAGTACGATTAGTCTTCATCATGTTCTTATCATATTTCTTCTTAGTCTTCTTTCTCCTCCTCCTCCTCCTCTTCCCCTCTTAAAGTTGTTTGTTGATTGGCTGCTGTTATTTCTGTCGCTCCACAGCCGCATGCTGAATGTGCCACAGCCGCATTTTGTCAGGGAGTTGGTGTACGCTGACGACACTCTCCTGCTGGACGGCAATCCGGACATCATCCAAGATCTGATGTTCTGCATAGAGGAATGCGGGCGACACTATGGACTGAGCCTGAATTGGCGCAAGGTTGAAGTGATGCGCGTTCGCATCGGAGCTCATCTTGTCAATGGCGCAGGTGAGGCGGCGAAGGAAACCAGCAGCTTAGTATACTTAGGCGCGTTGTTGTCCGCAGATGGTCGGAGCGGCGCAGGGCTTAACCGTAGACTCGGTGCGGCCAGGCAAGACTTCAACGTGCTGAGCGCAATCTGGTCCCATTCTGCATTGTCCCGCCGCCATAAAGTGCGTATTTCTAACGCATGCGTAGTAAATTAACATATTCTCTGTTTACTTTCTGCTTGAATCAGGCCGAACGCCGGAGAATTGACGGATTTCAAGCCCAGCATCTAAGGAGGATTTTCCGCGTGCCACATTCATATTACAGTAGAATTTCGACTTGCACAGTTTTGAGCATAGCGGAGCAGCGGTCTTTGAGCGAGCAAATCTGTAAACATCAGATGTTCTTCGTGGGCAAGCTTGCGAGACGCCCCAGCACAGACCCGGCGCGCACGTTAGTGTTTGAACCTGACAGCATTGACATACGATCGCCATCAGGACCTCGGAAGAGAGGCCCGCCCCGACAGAATTGGGGCAACATGGTGATGAGCAATTGTCTGCGTGTGTCTGGCTCCGCCGCTCGCCTTGCTGATTACTTCCGCCTGGAGGGCGGTGCAGCGCGAGCTTTGGCGTCGGTCGTGCGATCTTGGTACATGTAGTGCATTTTCCCATCTCTGCTAGCGCGCCGTCTGGTGCAAGCCTTCTGACTTGACATTTCACTTGACATTTCTGTCGTTGCCTTTATGCGTCGCGCTAGGGCTGTGGTCGCCTCGCCTGAGAGCGTGGCCCTGCAGGCTGCCCGTACGGTGTATGTGGGCTTTCCCCCGGGGGCTGAGGAGTTCAAGATATCTTGTTCGACAAAAAACAAACGACGCCACCCCGCCAGCGGCCCGTGGGGCCGTAGGTGGGGTGGTGCCATTTGTTTTCTGTTTCAATTGTTGAATCATTTGTGGCTTGTGTTGCGAGCTGGCTTCCTTGTCCCATGTCGTTGCATGAGCATGCTTGTTCTCGGAGTGATTCACGGGCTTCGAGCGCAGCCGTGCCCGCGCCGGATGACCGCTCGCATGGTGCCGTCCCTCCAGCCAGGTGGTGTGCGATGTGCGTGACAGTCGCTTTGGGGAGCCACGCTGCCCCCTCTCCCTTCTTGTCCTTGGCCGCGTCCTCGTGACAGTCCTGCTCCGATTTGCCTCACGAACCAGGATCTCGCGCTCGGGCTCCCCTACTGCAGGTTGGTCTGTGCGTGGTTCTGGGTTAGCTAGAGTGCATTTCGGTGCCACCGTCGTTCGTCGCAGGGGACTGCGATTGTTTCCCGGGTGGAACGCACCTCACAATTTCAATCGCGTCTTCTTGAACAATCTTTACGTACGTCGACGCAGCAAGACCAGAATGGCCAAACTACTCGAGCACGCATGAACACGCCGTAACGCCGTGATGCAATAATGCCCTACAGTGGGGGCCCATGCCAAGAAACACCCTTCAGGCGATTGCAAACATGGATTAAAGGGGCGTGGATTAGCGACGGGCCCCGTTTCCATGGGAAATCGCGGATTTCCGCCGCCCAGCGAGCCGGCAGTGGCCGCATTTTGGGGAGGGCACCTCCCCGGATCCATGGACTGGGCGACCGCGCGCCAAAGCCATGGATCGCTCATCCATGTTTGCGCGCCCCCGAACCCTGCTTGCCTCCAGGGTGCCCTGGGTTTCTTGGGTTTTCGATGGTTTCGCGATGGAAAACGTGACGGTCCCACGCCAAAAACTAGTGGCCGTCCTGGGGTCTCAGGGTTGGGTTTCTGATGGAAGGTTTCTTGTGGACTGACTCCCGTTGTAATGCCCCAGATCGTGAGTGCACATCTGCTTTGGAAGGGAAGGGCCAGGCGGCCGGCGCCACTCGGAGATCCCCAGAGGGGCTCGAGGAGGCCCCCAAGAGGGCACTGACAGACACTAAGAGAGTCCTCCTCCTCCTCCTCCTTCATTTTCCTCCTGCTCCTCCTCCTCCTCCTTCCGCTCCTCCTCCTCTTCCTCCTCCTTCCTCCTCCTCCTCCTCCTCCTTCCCCTCCTCCTCCTCCTCCTCCTCCTTCTCCTCCTCCCCTCCCTCCCTCCCTCCCTTCCTCCCTCCCCCTCCCTCCCTCCCCTCCCTCCCCTCCCCTCCCCTCCCCTCCCCTCCCTCCCTCCATCCTTCCCTCCCCTCCCTCCCTCCATCTCTCCCTCCCTCCAGCTGCCAAGACTGCACCTGGGGACCCCGTACCCATTCTGGATCAAGCCGCCCAGGTCCGGGGCGATTGTCTATTCGATTGTCTTCCACGTACTAGATTTCACCCGCCGTACTGCTTCGTGGTCGGCACGATCCTGGCCATGTGCGTTCCTTCTAAGGTCCTTGTGACCCTGAGTGTCGCGCTGGTAGTCACAGACGTGAGCGCTGTGCTGGTGAGAAGACCGCACGAGGAGAGCGCGCCAAGCTGCCAGGAGACTGACGAATGTAATACTGAGTTCGTCAATTCTTATGGTTTTCTTACTGCTATGGATGTGCGGCCGTCGAAGCCCGACAATGATGCGCCCAAAGTGGATCCAGATGATTACATAGGGAAGATCAAGAATCACAGCACCGTATATGTAATCAGCAGCGCTCTTGGGAGTTTCGTCAAGAACGTGTGGCCTACAATTCCAAAGGATATTTCTTTTGTGCTCGTCACGGGCGCAGCAGTCACATCGTTGCCGTTTGATACAGACGGGCATTTGAAGACTGGCGGGACACATTTAAAGTGGTCACAGCATGATTTCGAAGATTTCATCAACGACACGCGCATCGCCCATTGGTTCACACAGAATTGTGTTGCCCGGCATCCCAAGCTTAGTGCGATTCCACTTGGCATCGATTATAGGTGGTTGAACAGGGGAGTCAAGAGTACGGCAATTAGCCAGGTTCACAATCCTGGACATGCGTGGGGTCAACACCAAACGCCTCAGCAGCAAGAGAACACATTTCTCGATATTATCGGAGACGCCTACGGCGAACCACCTTCGCCACCTGCCTGTTAGAAGCGCCCATTCGGCCCAACGTTGGGCCAAGCTAGAGGAGGCCTCTTGATGCCCTCTCGAGGCCTTCCTGAGGCTTGAGGGCCTCTGAGGGGCCTCTTGGGGACCTCTTGAGGGCCCCTGGTGGCCTCTCAGGGGCCTCTTGGCCTTCGGCGGCCGTCTTGGGGGTCTCGATGAGCCGTCGTGGATCCCTTTTTTTGAGCGCTTTAGGACAGTCTTGGAGGTCTGTGAGGCCGTCTTGTGGGGCTTCTTGGGTCCCCCATGGGCCGTCTTGAGGGCCTCATGGGGGCCTCTCGGGCGGTCTTGGGGCCAATTTGGGGGCCTACGGAGCCTTGGAGCGTCGGAAGCCCAAAAAAGCGAGAATGTTGTAAGCAACGAGCAACCTTAGGAGTATGAAAGATTTGGGTTTCCTCGAGGTCCGCCTGGAGCCCTCTTGAGGCGTCTTGGATGTCTCTTGGGCCGTCTGGAGGGCATCTTGGGCCGTTTCGGAGGCCATCTTGGAGGCCATCTGGGGCGTCTTGGGAGGCGGACGAATGATTTTCTTTGATGGTTTTCTGGTAGGCCGGCGGGATTGGCCGAGACCCCGTTGGGAAGTGTTGGAAGGTTTCAAACAAATTTGAAAACCAGTCAGCACGCACACTTGTGACATGCATATGGTGCGGCGGATCCAGTGGTAATCGGCCCATCCCGCCAACGTGCTTGAGTCGTGGTCCAGGCGCCTCTCAGAGGCCCCGTGGGAGCGTGAGGGCCGTTGGGGGCTTGGCCTCCTCTTCAGGGCCTTCTGGAGGCTTCTCGGGGGGGGGGGGCTCGCGGGCCGTCTTGAACGCTCTGCAGATCGACACGCCGAGAATGGGCCCCCAGGACGGCCCACGAGGCGTCCAAGAGGGCTCCAGGGCGGCCCTTGGAGGGCATCGTAGGCCCCGTTGGGAGCCACGCTCCCGAGGCCTCGGGAAGGGCACGCGCGCACCCCGTGAGGTCTGTGAGTCCGTGAGTTGGGGGCCTGGGGCGACGGTCGGGCCGAGGCATCAGATGCAGATTCGGTGAGGGTACCCTGATGTTCTCCGTGCTCGTTGAATGTTCTCATGTGTCCTGGGGGAGGGTATCCTCGAATGTTTTTTCGTTGGCTGGTGGAGGGTCTCATGTTCTTGACGGATGTTATACTGTTCCAGGTTCGGCCGTATTGTTGTAAGAGATTTCGCAATCTTCCATGCAGAGAGCTCGAAGAGACCTGAGAACACTGCACTCGGTGCTTCGCGGCACGGTGGCGGATCAAGGCTCAGAAGCCATGGGCAGAGAGGATGTCTGCGGCCTATGCGGATTTCCATCTGCAGATGGACAGCAGGCCTGGAAAAGGGTCCCGCAAAGATGCGCTGAACGAGTTGAAGCGTCCTGAGCATAAGTCAAGCATACATTGGGCGACCAGAAGACGCGATCGCGTGGACATTTGGAAGGAGTATGCCAAACATAAGTACGTGGTCGCACCCCTCGGCGTTGGCTTGGACTGCTATCGCATCTGGGAGACCCTTATCCTCGGCTCGATTCCCATCGTGCCCTACAGCGAGTTCGTCGACGACGAGCTCTTCGAGAACCTTCCGGTACAACGAGTCTCCACGTGGGCAGAGGTCGACGTGCAGGAGTGGAGCCGATCCGCGCCGCCGGGTGTGGTGAATCCCTCGACGTGGAATCCCCAGTTCAGTGAGAAGCTGACGCTGGAGTACTGGCTCCGCAAGATAAGATCGAAGAAGGCAAGGTTGCATGACATATGCTTTTGACGGTCGCGCGGACCGTCAAAAGTTTATGTTTGTGCAGCTCTCTCTTTTTCGATAAGAGCGGCCGCGCTCCCGCAGCCGTAGGCTGTGCACGGAGGGTTGTTCTCTTGGCTCGCAACGGCTCGCAGATGTAAACATATTCTCAGATGAGGATCAGATGCCGAAATTGTTGCTCTTCTGTCGCCGCCGCGGCTGGATTCGCTTCGAAACCCCTGTCAAGACACATCCAGGAGAGATCCGTGGAGTAGCGCTGCCTAGGCCGCTTCCAGCGCGAAGCCGCATCGCGGCTTGGGTTGGAGAGGCGTCCTTTTCCAGGGCGGCACCGCGAGGGCGCGAAGATCAGCGCCGAGAGCAAGTGACCCTCGGGTGTCGGCACCTCTTTGCCCTCCCTTCCCCCCCAGGTGGTGCGTCGTCGTCGGGGCTGAAAGACGGAGGTCTCCGGACGGTGGCGGGCGGCTCGGGGTGCCTCCCGGGCGCTCCCGGGGAGTTGTTCGGGGGGGTGGCATCGGGGCAGGAGGAGCGGCGTCCTCTCGTTGCGGGGGGAGGGGGGCAGTCAGGGACAACGCTTGGGGGGGGGGCAGAGGCTCAAGGGGGGGGGGGGTGAAGTTCGGGCTCCAAGGTTGGAGGTTTCAGGACCGTTTTCGTCAGTTCTCGGCGGGTTTCTTGCTGCGCGGCTCCTTCCAGCAGCCGCGCCCTGGCCGAGGTCGTTTTCACTGAACCACGTTTTACGAAAGGGGGCTCTGCCCATCCCCGAGTGCGGATTCGCTGCTGATTCGCTATCGGGGGCCTGCCGCCGATCCGTCGGCGATGCTGCCGCCGATGCCAGCTCGGCGTGTCCCCCGCGGGAGCGGGGCCCCTCCCGCCTCCTGGCGCGGGGGAGAGAGGAGATCACCGCCCACCAAGCCACCCCGATCGGAGCCTCAAGTCGGGCCTGTCTCGAAAATCCGCCTGCAGGGGACACGCCCAGCCTAACCCCAGCCGAAGGCTTCAGTTTGCCCTCCATTCCCAGGGGGGTGTGGGGGGGGGGGCGTCGGGGCACATCGAGCAAAGCGAAGACGAAGCCCGTGCTCCCCCCCAGCGCGAGAGTCGGGTCTTCGCGTTGGCTCGGGGTGGTCCTGGTAGGCAGGCAGAAGAAACGGCAAAAGTGCATAAACGTGGATTTTCGATGCTCCGCGCGAATTCTTGGATCGGCGCTTGCGGCCCCCCTGGCGGCGCTTCTGGCGCACCAGGCAGGAGGGCCCAGCGCCGATCCAAGCAATCCGCGCGGAGCTCCCAAAGTTTATGTTTGTGCCAGCTTTTGCTCCTCTACCAGGGCTCCACCAAAACGGTGTTTCGGCGACCTCGTGGGCCGCGTTCGTTTCAACGTCGCTTTGCTGCGAAGGTGGCACGAAGACGCACGAGGGAAACGAAAGCAACACGAAGCCCTCAGGTACGGCAGGTTCGTGTCGTGTCGACCAGCGGCGACCCCGCCAGCAGCGTTCAACGTTGAACGCCGCGGGCGACCCAGAATCGTTCGATGTGGAACGATTTGGACGGTTCGGAAACGGCCGATCGTTCAGGGTGGAACGATCACCGCGTTGTCAGAAGCCAGCGCCGAAGTCGGCACGACGCGAGCCTGCCGTAGGGTCGTCGCAGGGTGTTTCTACCGTGGGCGGCAGGCTCAGGGTGCTCCTTGCGGCCCTGCTCGCAGTTGCGTCCGCTGGCTGGCATGCGGGCAGCGCGGTTCACTCACGTTTCTCTATCTCTCTCTCTCCCTCTCCCTCTTTTTGTTTCGTTATTTCTTTCTTTATTTTTTTTTTCTCTCTCTCTCTCTCTCTCTCTATCTCTCTCTCTCTCTCTCCCTTTCTCCCCCTCTCTTTATGCATCGATTCATGTGTAGTTGTATGTATGTATATATACATATAACGGCGCACCGGGTCCGGGGGCCCGGGGCCGGGACCTCGACCACAAATGTGCACCCCGGGGGCCCCAGAGGCTCGTCGGGGCTTGCCGGAGGCCTCCCCGGTCAGACAAGACGGCCCCAGAAACGCCCAAGACGGCCCAAGAAACTTCCAAGAGGCCTCCAAGAGGGCTCCGAGATGCTGAAGATGGCCTCCAGACGTCCAAGGACGCCCCCCAAGAGGCCCCAAGAAGCCTCCAACATGCGTCCCAAGAGGGCCCCTAGACGCAAAAATTGGCCCATTCCCTTCGTAAAACGTACATTTTCAACAAAGTTGCCTTTTGGGCTTTCCGACGTTACAGGACGGCCCAAGAGGCGCCCAAGACCGCCCCAAGACGGCCCAAGAAGCTTCCCAGAGGGCCCCAGGACAGCCCAAGAGGGCCCCAAGACGGCCCAAGAGGCGCCCAAGATGGCCCAAGAGGGCCCCAAGACGGGCCCAAGAGGGGGCCCAGAGGGGGACCACGAACCGCAAGCTCGAGCCTTCCGCCCCAAGAGGCCGCCAGGAGGCCCCCAGGAGGCCCCTCAAGAGGCCCCAGGAGACCCCAGACGTCCAAGGACGCCCCCAAGAGGCCCCAAGAAGCCTCCAACATGCGTCCCAAGAGGGCCCCTAGACGCAAAAATTGGCCCATTCCCTTCGTAAAACGTACATTTTCAACAAAGTTGCCTTTTGGGCTTTCCGACGTTACAGGACGGCCCAAGAGGCGCCCAAGACCGCCCCAAGACCGCCCAAGAAGTTTCCCAGAGGGCCCCAGGACAGCCCAAGAGGGCCCCAAGACGGCCCAAGAGGCGCCCAAGATGGCCCAAGAGGGCCCCAAGACGGGCCCAAGAGGGGGCCCAGAGGGGGACCACGAACCGCAAGCTCGAGCCTTCCGCCCCAAGAGGCCGCCAGGAGGCCCCCAGGAGGCCCCTCAAGAGGCCCCAGGAGACCCCAGACGTCCAAGGACGCCCCCAAGAGGCCCCAAGAAGCCTCCAACATGCGTCCCAAGAGGGCCCCTAGATGCAAAAATTGGCCCATTCCCTTCGTAAAACGTACATGTTCAACAAAGTTGTCTTTTGGGCTTTCCGACGTTACAGGACGGCCCAAGAGGCGCCCAAGACCGCCCCAAGACGGCCCAAGAAGCTTCCAAGAGGGCCCCAGGACAGCCCAAGAGGGCCCCAAGACGGCCCAAGAGGCGCCCAAGATGGCCCAAGAGGGCCCCAAGACGGGCCCAAGAGGGGGCCCAGAGGGGGACCACGAACCGCAAGCTCGAGCCTTCCGCCCCAAGAGGCCGCCAGGAGGCCCCAAGGAGGCCCCTCAAGAGGCCCCAGGAGACCCCCAAGAGGCCCAAAGGAGGCCCCGAGAAGCCCCAAATCGGCCCCAAAATGCTGCGAACCTGCTTCCAGGAGGCCCCCGACAGGTTCAGAGGCTCCCGAGAAGCTACGTCAAACTCCCAGCGAGCGGCCGGATGAGGCCCCCCAAAAAATCCCAAGAGGGTTCCAGTATTTGTATCCTTCAGCGCTCTCTGGCCTTCTTCCCCCTGCCCCCTTCCCTGCGACTTTCGTTGACTCAAGCTCGCCTCCTCTCCATTTCCTCTCTCTCTCTCTCTGCCTCTCTCTCTCTCTGTCTCTTTTTTGTTTCTCTCTCTCTCTCTCTCCATCTCTCTCTCTCTCTCTTTCTCTCTCTCTCTCTCTCTCTTTCTCTCTCTTCCTTTCAGATTCCGTGCCCTTGCGACCTTCTGCAGTCCCCGACGTCGCCACGGCTGGATCCGCTCGAGCGTGTCTTGTGATGTGCGGCGGTGCGAAGCCCGTAGAGCTACAGGGCTATCGGACTATAAGGCTGGAGAGCCATAGGGCGTCAGGGCTACACGGCTATTGGGCTACAGGGCTATAGGGCTGTAGGGCTATAGGGCTATAGGGCTATAGGGCTAGGGCCATAGGGCTATAGGGCTATGTGGGTTATTCGGCTGTTGGGCTATAGGGTTGTTGGGCTGCAGAGCTATGGGGCTATAGGGCTATAGGGCTATAGGATCAGAGGGCTATAGAGCTAAAAGGGCTAGATGGATGTACGGATATAGGGCTATTGGGCTACAGTCCTATAGGGCTATACGGCTATAGGGCAATAGGGCTACAGGGCTATAGGGCTATAGGGCTATAGGGCACCCCCAGGCACCCCGGCACCCGGGCACCGGGCACCCAGGCACCCAGGCACCGGGCACCCGGGCACCCGGGCACCTGGCCCGGCCGCATGGGGACGGAATCCTGCCGAACCTCATCGAACCTTTTAATCCGCCAGGACTTCTACAGAAGCAAGCTCTGATTGGGTACTAACCCATGGCAACCGCCGCTACCTTCGTCGCCGCGATTGCCGCCGTCTTCATCGCCGCCGTCGTCGCCGTCCTCGGGTTCTGTTCGGGCACCCTCTGGCCATCTCGTGGGGCACGCTGGGGGATTATCAGAGGCATCCGTAAGTATCCTGAGGGTCCCCGCGACTTCCCCCAGAGACTCTGACTACAGAAACTCCTTTCGTATTCCAGCCAGAAGCATCCAGAAACGATGTACATTAGCCCTGGCGGGGGGAATGATGGCGATTGTGATGTTCATGATGACGACGGTGACGATCCTAGCTAGAACCTAAGCGCGCGCGAAGCGCGCGCGTGGTTCTAGTATATATATATATATATGTACATATAGATATAGAAAATGTATTTTTCGCCACTTCCAGTTAGTTATATATACAAGGATTGGGTACGTAACCGGGTAATTGTACGGGGGTCGTGTTCTTCGGCAGCGCGTTTCCATAGCTTTTTTCGAGGGATCCTGATCATGGCTTCGGGGGGGGGGCGACGTATGCAGTGAGATGCTGGTAAAGGGGGTGTCCTTGATTAGAATACGGAAGCCCTACCAGGCAGCCCTTAGCATTCTTCCATGCCTCAGCGTGCACAAGACACCGGCCCCGTGTGTGATAGTTGCTCAAGCTATCGTTTGGTGTGTTTCATGAACATATGAATGCAGGTCGTGAAAAACTTGTTCTTGGTCAGCAGTGCTCACCATCACAGTTTGCACCAGCCATACATTCGAGTGACCC